CTGCACTGAGCCCTGGGGGATAGTTGCAGTGAGTGTCCTGCACCCATTAACAATTGCTTCTTTGTTTGCTATAGTCTCATGGGTCTTGTGAATGCAAGCCTCATTGGCTTTCAGAGCTAGGTGCTTTGGGGGCCCATCCCTTAGGTGAGAATCTTAAAAGCTGAGGCACTAGATTTGGTTTCCAAATCACCTCGCTCCTCAGAGAGGAGCTGGGAGTTGGGAGTTCCTTCCTCATTGTATGGCTGTGCCGGGGGTGGGGTTTATGACGAGAGTGTGTCTCAGGCTTTTTCACCTGTTTCAGTATGGGTATTTTCTCATTTATCCAATGTGTAGGAGTCACTTAGCTAGTTTCTGGATTTCTTTCAGAGGTAATTTTTCCACATGTAGCAGTACATTTGGTGTCTTTGGGAAGAGGGGAGTTCAGGAGCCTCCTATATTGCCGTCTTGATTGATCCTCTCTTCTCTCTCACTTTTGAAGGACGGTTTTGCCAGATATAGGATTCTTGGTTAACAGTTTTTTTTTCTTCTAGCATTTTGACTATACTGGCCCACTGCCTACTGGCTTCCAAAGTTTCTGATGAGAAATCTACTGTTATCTTATTGAAGATCCTTTGTATATGATGTGTCACCCCTCTTTTACTGCTTTCGAGATTCTCTGTCTTTGGCTTTTTTTTTAAGATTGGCCCTGAGCTAACATCTGTTGCCAAGCTTCCTCTTTTTAATTTTTTCTCACCAAAGCCCAGTATGTAGTTGTGTATCCTAGTTGTAGGTCATTCTAGTTCTTCTTTGTGGGATGCCACCACAGCATGGCCTGATGAGTGGTGTGTAGGTCTGTGTCCAGGAGCTGAACCAGCGAACCTCAGGCTGCTGAAGTGGACCATGCAAACTTAACCACCTGGCCACAGGGCTGGCCCCTGTCTTTAGCTTTTGAAAGTTTGATTACAATGTGTCTCAGTGTGCATCTCTTCGAGTTATCTTACTTGCAGTTTTTGAACTTCTTGGATATTTATATTCATATCTTTCATCAAATTTGGTAAGTTTTCAGTCAATATTTCTTCAAATATTTTCTCTCTTCCCTTTTCTCTCTCTTTTCTCCCTCTGAGACTCCCACAATGCTTATGTTAGTCTACTTGATGGTGTCACACAGGTGCCTTAGGCTCTGTTCACTAGTCTTCAATCTTTTTTCTTTCTGTTCTTTAGACTTGATAATTTCCATTGCCCTATCTTCAAGTTCACTCCTTTTTTTTTTCTGCTTGCTTAAATCTGTATTTGAATCTCTCTAGTGAAATTTTCATTTCAGTTATTGTAATTTTCAGCTCCAGAATTTCTTTCTAGTTTTTAAAAATCTCTTTGTTGATATTTGTACTTTGTGCATATATCATTTTCTTGACTTTCTCCAGTTCTTTGAGCATCTTTAAGACAGTTGTTTAAAAAATCTTTGTTTAGAAGATCTGCCATCAGATCTTTTTCAGGAACAAAATTTCTGTTGATTTTTTTTATTTGAATAGGCCATATTTTTGTGTTTCTTTGTATGCTTTGTGATTTTTTAAAAAGGAAAACTGGACATTTGAATCTAATAAACCACATTATTAGAGTTGCCACAAACTCTAGAAATCAGATTCTCTCTCTTCCCCAGGGTATGATGTTTTATTTTGTTATTGTTTTTGTGAAGTTTTTGTTTTTTTTTTGTTTTGTTTGCTATAGGCTGTCTCTGTCCTGGGAATCAGCCTGAAATGTGAACTTAAGGTATTCTCATGTCTTTTTTGAGACTTTTCCTGGGCATGCATGGTTACTTTCTAATTTTCCCCATATATGCAGTTGTTTTTTAATGTCCTAGTCTTTAATATCTGGCTCCCAAAAGGAGAAAAAGAGCAAAATGAAGGGAGGGGGAAAAAGGACGCTGGCCCTTTAAATCCCTGAAAGTCACTTTAGCCTGAGGGAGAGGGGCTTGCAACAATGAAGGGAGGTGCTCCTTTGTGTGCACTCTGTGATCAGAAGCAGCAATCAGTGATCAAGGCGTAGATCCCTGATATTTGTAAGACAGGATTCTTTTTGCCCACCCTGGCTGCTGCAAACTGTATTTAAGCTGCTCCAGGAACATGTGCCCAGCTGGCTGCCATGTGGCTAAGGTTGGCGAAGGTGTAACTGCCAGTGTGCTAAGAGCTGAAATTGACCAAAATCAACTGCAATTACCCTCTAAGTCTTTCCTTGGAAGTTGCAAGCCCTCAGTAGACTCCAGAGTTTCAAAATAGTTACGTTAGACAGATTCTGCTCCTGCCATTGTTGTCTGGGTGGGGAGAGAGATTCTGGTGCTTCCTACTCTGCCATCTTCCCCTGCCTTAATTTTTATATTTTAAAATTTCTTTCTTCTTTCCTGATATCTCTGAAGGTCCTCAACCTAATCTTTTACCATCATTCATACTTTGGCTATATCCTTTATATTTATCTCAGTTATTATGTCATTTAGGTTACCTATTCTATTTTCCAAAGCCTGTATTTTTTTATTGATTCTTCTTTGTTAATATAAGTTCCCACTTTAATATACCAATATCCATTCTGATCTAGTTGAGAATATTAATTATGCCAATTTCATTTATCTCTTCAATTAACTCTGGGTTATTTCATATTGATTATTTAGCTTGTTTCTCTTTGTTGACATGTTTGTAGTAAATTTTGTTTGTGATCATTTGTCCATGGTAGTATGAGCTGATTTGCTTTTATTGTGTATGTGGTGAATGGATGGGGTTGGGAGGAGAGGCAGTATAGGAAAGAAGGACCAAAGCTCAAGTCTCTTAACTCTCTTGGTTGATTTAAAGTGGATGGTGGAAAATTCCAGTCAGAGACTCCACAATGATACAATCTGGGTTTATTTACACTCATTTGTTACTTCCTAAATCAGCTATTCTCCCATCCCCACCCCACCCCTATCAGGGAACATATCTTTACTTATGCCCTAGATGTGGTTTCTATGGAATTTTTTTTTGTCTCAGGTTTAGTCATCTATTTCTCAGTGTGCACAGGAAGGAGAGAAAACAATAAGCTCTGTGTATGGGTAGTCCAATTGCACCTGTTTTTATACACTTCTTACCCTAGCTGGGCTCTGAAACCACCAGTATGTCATCTCAATCACCCTTGTATTATCTTGGCTGTTAGTGCTTTGGAAAGGGAGCAGGCAATGACAGACCCAGATTTTTGTGGTGGGGAGAATAACACAACTCAAAACTCTCACCCAACTCATTCTCCTACTTTTGGTGCCCAGCTCTCTGTCTTGGGCATCTATTTCCTTTTCTCACCAAGATATAACTGCCATTTTTCCTCAAAGAATTCTTGGTCTTGACTTTATTTATTCATGTCCATAAACCTTCTTTTTACTTCTCTGGATTTTCCAGGAGTTGGCTGGAAGATGCAGAAAACAGGCTATGGGAATATGGTCTTTTGTCCTTGAAAGTCTGTCTACTTCTGGCACACCCAGCTTCATGACTCACAACAGGAAAATCTCAGAATTTCCATTTTTCTAACCAGTCAGATTAGCCTAGTCCCTATTACTTCAGGGTCCACAGAATGTCTCCTGCAGCTGATTGGGCTCAAGAATGATTTGTAATTCTAGAGTCTTCACCAAAGTTGAAATATGCCAGAATTAGGGCTTCACTTATTCAGAGTAAATCCTGCCTGAAGGAGGGTCTGATCTTCAAGTAATTAGAATTTTTGGCAGAAAATTGTCTCAATGTAGGGAATTGGTTTTCCTATTCTTCAGACTGAACAGAGATCAGGCTTGCATTCCTAGTTATAGGATCTCACTTGTTTACAGTGTCTGTTATATTGGCCCTAGCCACCAGTAGTCCAGGATATGATTTGCAGGTGAGGCATTAGACTTTGTCAACAAGACGGAAAGGGAAGGGATGCCTGAAAAAATTCAGAGATGAAATGGTCAAGCTGAGAATCCTACAGCTGGGAAGATCATGGCCATGCTGAACCTTGTAGCATTATATTAAGAAGACTTGGCAAATGGTGTTTGGATGATCATTCTCTTGGTAGCTAAAATAAAATCACTGGGCTGAAGTTGAGTGTTCTTTTTCCAGAAGGACTGAGAATACCCAAGTCAAATTTCAATGACTGAGGCAGTACAAAATGTCCAAATATCTACACATAAGTAGTGATCAAGTTGGGAGGGTAGTTAAACTAATTGGGGCCTCTGGCTTGGTGGACATAAATCAGGAAACATCACAAAGGAAAATTTGTTGTAAGTGCAGGGACATTTCATGTGAGTGTGAGGTTCACAGCTTAGTTTGATTTCAAGGACAAAATGGAGCACAGATTTGGTACTTTGGTTCCACTAACTAGCTCAGCCTGAGAGGGGAGGTCATACAAACCTACACAGATTTGGCTTGTCACACCTGACACAGTGCAAGTATTGTGTGCATGGATGAGGAATGGTTCAGGAGGGTAGAGGGAGCTAATGGACAGTACCAGCTGACATTCCAACTCCAGATAAGGCAAACGGAGAGATATTCAGAGAGGAGGGAGGGCTGACACAAGATTCTTCCATTTTAATGGTCATACGGCTATTTCTCAGGAAAGACAAAACCAAAATCAGGAAAACAGCAAACAGATGGAAGTTTCAAGGAATATGGAAATACAACCAAGATCTTAAAGTTGGTATGAATTTTCTTATATCTGTATTTCAGATGGTGCATCAAGAAGCTCAAGGGCTTTCCTTTCCATGTCTGTTTAAGCAAAAAAACCAGGTCTGTGTTATAGGTTTTAGAAAGTCCCCCTGGATTAATTTAAGTCAGTTCTATCTCAAGGGAAGTCCCAAGGATGCCATCTCTTTCAATGTCCCTCCTGTTCCATTGATTACTCTCTCATTCTTTCATTCCCTCAAAACTTAATCATTGCCTACTATGTACCAGGCACTGCAAAGATTCACTAGGAATATTAAATAAATAAAACAAATGTCTGCTTTTGAGTTATTCCCAAGACCACTCTCCATCTCACTCTCCTGGAGATCAGCCATACCAGAGCCCTATTAGCCTCCACAGACGTTCTTCCAGTTCCTATGGCTGGGAAATGGTCAAGTGTAGGCTGGGAGCTTAGTTGTATAAAACAGCATGTTGCTGTAGAGAGTTCACAGGTCTGGGAGGATTGGATTTGGGTGACCTTTTGCCTGTCAGATGGTCAAGCCTTGGGTGACCATCAGATCTGGTTAGAAAACTTGCTATGCCATTTGATAATGTGACCTTGAGCCAGTTAGTTACCTCTACTGGGCTTGGTTTCCTTATCTGCCAAATGAAAACAATGATACACATCTACCTTAGGATGATTTAAATTTTCAGTTGTGTCAATATATGTAAATTGCTTAGTCCAGTGCCTGGTACGTGGTACTTGTCCAGTAAGTGGTGGCTATTATTTTCTCTCTGGACTTTTGACTTACTAACTGCAAAATGACAAATGATGTTGAGATCTAACCCAGCTATTAAACTTTTAGATTAGGACAATCCTCCCTCTTCCCATCCCAAACCAAGGTTTATCCTGCATTCCCAGATCCTCTACTTTTCATCTCCCCAAGACCAAGGACAAGTTTGGATTCCTTACTTTTGGTATGCTTCAACACAGGCTATATTACAGTCTATTATAAGCTTGTAGTTGTTAAGGTTGCCATCACAGCCAGTGTAGACAAAACTTTCACATCTTTTGGAAGTTTTGTTGTAGAAATATCTGAAGTGAACTTCATAGCAGCTGCCAAGTTTCAAATCCATATTGCAGGGGTCTGCATGAGAGATTCCATTGAGTTAGGGGGAATTAGTTAGAATGCGGCAGGAGATCTTGTCTTCATGGGCCCTTAAAAATTCCTCACGTTGGTCTGGAAATATTCCCATGTTCAAGGTCCCCGAAGGACATCTGGTTTTCTCTTGGAATTAGGATCACTTGGCAAGGTTGGAATTGGGTGTGCAAATTGATTACAACTCCAGTCACTGGTCAGTGACTTGGAGAAACAGTGAGCAGTGAGAAAAGAAGGTTCTACCAGCAGCGTGTGCAAAGTGATGAGGTTCTCGTTTCACCTCTTCCATTTTGTTAAGTCACAGTCTCATGCTTCTCTGTACCTTCATCTTTCTCTCTTAACTGCCCACATAGGACATATAATTCAGAACGTTCATTCTCCAGTTTTCATACGCTCACTATACTATATACACCCCAAATTTCAGGTAACTCTGCCTGCTGCTGTCCTTGAAGCAGGCTACATACAAAGATGCCTAACTCTGGGGGTGATTCTCTTTTGCCCTCATACCCTGTAATCTCTCCCCCATCACCTTCCCAGAGGCAAACCTTCTGTTTTTATTGATGAGAGTTGCATAGTGAGTGGCCAAAACAGCCACAACATGATTGTTTTGGCAACTCAGAGACTGTTGTTTATCCTACTCAAGCAGCCAGTCTGGAATTTACTCCCTGGAAAAGAAGTAGCTCTTTAGGTACAGTTATATGCATAATCTTATTTCATACAAATATCCTCTGAAGCAGGCATTTTTCTGATTTACATTTTACACAGGGGAAACTGAGGCTAAGGAGTGGTAAGTGATTGAGTGACTTGGCCAAGGGCACACATTTCCTAAGTGGCAAGGCCAGAATGTGGGGTATCTGACTCACAGGGTAGACTGTGCCACCTCCCCATGCTCTGGAAGCACTGAGCCTGTACACATTACCTGTGGAAGAAAGCTTCATTGCCTTTCACATCTATGCCGTGAACTCCTCTAAATAGGGACCATGTATTCAAGTGTTCTTTATGCACCCAGAGCCGAGATATTGAAATTGCCTCAGTTCGCTCAGTTTCCAGTCCCCTTTTTCTCTCATCTCAATACATACTCTTGAATGGTCTGGGATCTTTGAAATTTGCCATGAAACTCCTAATTCAGAATATTTCTAGTCCTTTGAACCGCCTACAAAAGAGAGCCCCATCTGGAAAGGACCTATTTGCATCATAGTTTTTTTCCCCCTCATCAGGCCTCCTCAAGACCCCTAGAGTTAGTAATGCCCCAAGTCAAGGGACTAAGAGTCTATGAGTATTGACACAAAAGGGGACCTTCCTGGACCACCTGGATATCACATTTTTTTCAAATTTTTCCCCCTTCCTCCCTAGTTGGTCTTTGGATTTATTTTCTGATTCAAGTTCATACCTTTGAGTTCTCCACATATCATTTCAGTAAGTCTAGTAACACCACCCATTAATTGGGTGGTCAGCAAGAAGAGGATGAAGAGCCCCAGAAGAAATCTCAGCTCAGCAGTCTTCATGGTGCAGCAAGCAGTAGGTAGGAGAGTCTTGGTATCAACTGCTGTTATATTTTGGGCTTGACACTTGAGAGGGCTGAGCCCGCTTACCCCAAGGGCCAAGACTGGGCATTACTAGGTGTTGAGTTGAACAATGAGTGCTTGGGTACCCAGCCATGAAGCTGAAGGTCCCAGGCTGATAGTGAGTCCCATGTTCATGTAGAAACCATAGAAACTAAAGGATCAGAGCTTCTGCGTATATTTAACCATGGAGGGTATAACCATCAGAGCAAAGAATTTAAAAAGTATTGCTTCCTTTCCTTTCTTCAAACTTCTATCACAAGGAAGAGACTGATCCTGGTGCAACAGAAAGAATGTAATAAACACAATAATAGTAATGATAGTAACTAACCCCTGTAGTACTTCCTTCATGATATAGATGTATATATATAAGATCATTGAATTATCGTATGCACCCCATGAGTTAGGTGCAATTATTATCATCATTTACAGATGAAGAAACTGAGGCTGAGGTTAAGTTATATGTATAAAGTTATACATCTACTATGTAGCGGAAACAAGATTTGAATTCACTACACTATATTACCTAGGAACATGGGACAACTTGGTTCTGTTTTCTTGTAACATTTTTGAAATTTTGACTTCTATATTTGTACCCTTAAACTATCTGAAGTTGATTATTTTTGGTAAGGTATAAAATAGAGGTCCAATTTCATTTTTTCAATGGTTTCAGACTCATTTGTTGATGAGTTTCTCTTTTATCCAGTTATATGATAACTTCACTTGTATATATGAGATTACTTCTGAGCTCTTTATTTCACTCCACTGTATATTCCTGCTCCAAAGCCATTCGTAATTACTTGAATTTTGTATTATCTTAGGATTTTGTATTTTCATATAAATTTTAGTTAAAGTCCTTTAAAAGACCCATTGTGAAAATAAAATCTTAAAAAAAAAAGGGAGGGGGGGCTGGCCCCGTGGCCGAGTGGTTAAGTTCGCGCGCTCCGCTGCAGGCGGCCCAGTGTTTCATTGGTTCGAATCCTGGGCGCGGACATGGCACTGCTCGTCAAACCACGCTGAGGCAGTGTCCCACATGCCACAACTAGAAGGACCCACAACGAAGAATATACAACTGTGTACCTGGGGGGCTTTGGGGAGAAAAAGGAAAAAAAATAAAATCTTAAAAAAAAAAAGACCCATTGTGGATATTGATTGGAAGTGTATTGGATTTACTGGTCAATTTAAGGAGAATGACATCCTTACAATATTGTCTTTGGTTTGTAGTTCTCCATCTGTACTGGTTTTCATTAATATCTTCCAAGAAAAGTTTATGATACTTCCCATACAGGTCTTGCAATCTTATTTATATTTTTGATATTATTGTAAACGGTACCCTTAAGCATTATATTTCTATTTGTTTCTGATGCACAAAAATGTAATTCATGTTGTATATTAATCTTATGTCTAGCATAAGCATTTCCTTAATGAGCAGTGATGCTGAGCATCTTTTCATGTGCTGTTGACCCTTTGCATGTCTTCTTGGAAAAATCTCTTTTCAGATACTTTGCCCATTTCAAAATCAGATTATGTGGCTTTTTTTTTTCCCTCTAAGGAGTTGTATGTGTTCCGTATATATTTTGGATATTAGCCCTTTATCAGGTATATAGTTTGCAAGTATTTTTCTCATTCCATAGGTTGCCTTTTTATTTTGTTGATTATTTCCTTTGCTTTTTAATTTGATATAGTCCAACTTGTTTATTTTTGCTTTTGTTGCTTGTGCTCCACATCCTTCCCAACAGTTGTTATTTCTTGTCTTGTTAATTATAGCCATTCTGACCTGGTGTGAGGTGGTATCTCATTGTAGTTTTGATTTGTATTTCCCTGATAGTTGGTGATGTTGAACATCTTTTCATGTGCCTCTTGGCCATCTGTATATCTTCTTTGGAAAAATGTCTGTTCAGATCTTTTGCCCACTTTTTAATTGGGTTTTTAGTTTTTTCGTTGTTGAGATGTATGAATTCTTTCTATATTTTGGATATTGACCCCTTATCAGATATATGGTTTGCACATATCTTCTTGCAATTGTTAGGTTGTCTTTTCGCTTTGTTGATGGTTTCCTTTGCTGTGCAGAAGTTTTTTAGTTCGATGTAGTCCTATTTGTATATTTTTTCTATTGTTTCCTTTGCCTGACCAGACATTGTACTTGAAAATATGCTGCTAAGACTGATGTTGAAGAGTGTACTGCCTATGTTTTCTTCCAGAAGTTTAATGGTTTCAGGTCTTACATTCAAATCTTTAGTTCATTTTGAGTTAATTTTTGTGTATGGTGTAAGATAACGGTCTACTTTCACTCTTTTGCATGTGGCTGTCCAGTTTCCCCAAAGCCATTTATCAAAGAGACTTTCCTTTCTCTGTTGTATGTTCTTGGCTCGCTTGTAGAAAATTAGCTGTCCATAGATGTATGGGCTTATTTCTGGGCTCCTGATTCTTTTCCATTGATCTATGTGTCTGTTTTATGCCAGTACCATGCTGTTTTTATTACTATAGATTTGCATTATATTTTGAAACCAAGGAGTGTGATACCTCCAGCTTTGGTGTTTTTTCTTAGGATTCCTTTGGCTATTTGAGGTCTTTTGTTGTTCCATGTACATTTTAGGATTCTATGTTCTATTTCTGTGAAAAGTGTTGTTAGAACTTTGATAGGGATTGCATTGAATCCGTAGGCTCCTTTAGGAAGTATGGACATTTTGACTATGTTAATCCTTCCCATCCAAGAGCACAGAATATCTTTCCATTTCTTTGTGTCTTCTTCAGTTTCTTCCAACAATGTTTTATGGTTGTCAGTGTACAGATATCTCACCTCTTGGTTAAGTTTATTCCTAGGTATTCTATTCTTTTTGTTGCAATTATAAATGGGATTGTATTCTTAATTTCTCTTTCTGCTACTTCGTTGTTAGTGTATAGAAACAGAACTGATTTTTGTATGTTCATTTTGTTTCCTTCTTTACTGTATTCATTTATTATTTCTAAAAGTTTTTTGGTGGAATCTTCAGGGTTTTCTATACATAAAGTCATGTCATCTGAAAATAGTAACAGTTTCACTTCTTCCTTTCCAATTTTGGTCACTTTTATTTCTTTTTCTTGCCTGATTGCTCTGGCTAAGGCTTCCAATACTATGTTAGATAAGAATGGTGAAAGTGAGCATGCTTGTCTTGTTCCTCTTCTTAGAGGGAAAGCTTCCAGTTTTTCTCCACTGAGAATAATATTAGCTGTGGGTTTGTCATATATGGTTTTATTATGTTGAGGTACTTTCCTTCTATACCCATTTTATTCAGAGTTTTTGTCATAAATGGATGCTGAATCTTGTCAAATGCTTTCTCTGCATTTATTGAGATGATCATGTGATTTTTATTCTTCATCTTGTTAATGTGGTATATCATGTTGATTAATTTGCAGATGTTCAACCATTCCTGCATCCTTGGAATAAATTCCACTTGATTATGGTGTATGATATTTTTAATGTATTTTGTATTCAATTTGCTAGTATTTTGTTGAGGATTTTTGCATTGATGTTCATCGGTGATATTGGCCTGTAATTTTCTTTTCTTGTGTTGTCCTTGTCTAGTTTTGGTATCAGGGTAATGTTAGCTTCACAGAATGAGCTAGGAAGCTTCCCTTCCTCTTCAATTTTTTGAAAAAGTTTGAGAAGGATAGGTATCAAGTTTTCTTTGAATGTTTGGTAGAATTCACAGGGAAGCCATCTGGTCCTGGACTCTTATTTTGGGAGGTTTTTGATTACTTTTGTATTTCTGAGGTGTCTGTTTGTATCAATTTGCTATAGCTTTTTGTAGTATTCTCTTATAGTCTTTTGTATTTCTGAGGTGTCTGTTGTAATTTCTCCTCTTTCATTTCTGATTTTATTTATTTGAGACTTCTCTCTTTTTCTCTTGTTGAGTCTAGCTAAAAGTTTGTCAATTTCATTTATCTTTTCAAAGAACTGGCTCTTGGTTTCATTGATTTTTTTCTATTGTTTATTTAGTCTCTATTTCATTTATTTCTGCTCTGATTTTTATTATTTCCTTCCTTTGATTGATTTTGGGCTTTGTTTGTTCTTTCTGTCCAGTTCCTTTAGGTACACCATTAGATTGTTTATTTGAGATTTTTCTTGTTTGTTGAGGTAGGCCTATATTGCTGTAAACTTCCCTCTTAGAACTGCTTTTGCTGTATCCCATAAATTTTGGCATGTCGTATTTTCATTTTTATTTGTCTCCAGGTGTTTTTTGATATCTCCTTTGATTTCTTCATTGACCCAATCATTGTTCAGTAGCATTTTGCTTAATCTCCACATATCTATGGCTTTTCTGATCTTCTTCCTGTAGTTGACTTCTAGTTTCATACCGTTGTGGTCAGAAACGATGCTTGGTATTATTTCAATCTTCTCAAATTTATTGAGACTTGTTTTGTAGCCTAATATGTGATCTATCCTGGAGAATGTCCCATGTGCATTTGAAAAGAATGTGTATTCTGTGGTTTTTGGGTGGAACGTTCTGTATATATCTACTAAATCCATCTGGTCTAATGTGTTGTTTAAGGCCAATGTTGTCTTAATCGATCTTCTGTTTGGATGACCTATCCATTGGTGTAAGTGGAGTGTTAAAGTCCCCTATTATTCTTGTGTTGCTGTTGATTTCTCCTTTTATATCTGTTAATAATTGCTTTATATATTTAGGTGCTCCTGTGTGGGTGTGTAGATATTTACAAGTGTTATATGCTCTTGTTGGATTGTTCCCTTTATCTTTATGTAATGCCCTTCTTTGTCTCTTATTACAGTTTTTGTTTTAAAGTCTATTTTGTCTGATATAAATACTGCTACCCCAACTTTCTTTTCATTGCCTTTTGCATGCAGTATCTTTTTCCATCACTTCACTTTCAGTCTGTGAGTGTCTTTAGGTCTGAAGTGTGTCTCTTGTATGCAGCATATATATGGGTCTTGTTTTTTGTCC